GGAAAGTACCCTTCTTACACCATCTTAAAATCAACATGTAAGTTAAGAATGGCGAACAACTGTGAACATGGTGAACACCTGTGAACGTTGGGGACTAATGCTGAACCTTCACTGGCAATTCTGGAGTGAGGGGAAGGGCTTGGAAGTCAGTGTTATGACACAAAATGGTATGCAAGCACTTTACTAGAATGGATGTTAAAAAAAATAAATGCTTCCCTATGTTACAAGTTCTTTCAAGTTGAACTCTGGTGCTGTAGGAGAACAGGTAGTTGGAGCCTTCCTATGTGCTAAATTTTCTGCTTGCAAGGAATTTTGTTTTATGGGCTAGCATTCAATAGTGCTACTCCCTGTTCTACCACCTCATGCAGCTGCATATGTTGACTCCGCTTCATACACAGAATCTCTACATCTCCACAGCCTTGATATACATCAGAAACAAGTATGGTGTTTTGAAAGGAAATTCTGTAGGAGTTTCACTGGATAGCAGCTGCATGACAAGAGCCTGTTCTGAGACTAAGGAGGCAGTGGAATGTAAAATGTGCTGAGGCTTACCACTGCAAGAGTGTTGTGAAGGAAATAAAGGACACTTGGGCTATCTACTGCAGATAGGTTGCCAACTGGCTTGGAAGAAAATGTCCTGTCCTTTTAAAAAGGTAAAGGTTCCCTTGCTCGAAAGCCAGTCGAATCCGACTCTAGGGTTGCGGTGCTCATCTCCGTTTCAAAGCCGAAGAGCCAGCTCTGTCCGAAGACGTTTCCGTGGGCATGTGGCCAGCATGACTAAACACCAAGGCGCACTGAACGCTGTTACCTTCCCACCGAAGTGGTACCTATTTATCTACTTGCAATTTCTTGCTTTCGAACTGCTAGGTTGGCAGGAGCTGGAACTAGAGACAGGAGCTCACCCTGTCTTGCGGCACCCGGGTCTTGAACCGCTGAACTACTGACCTTCCACAGCCTGCAGTTCAGCGTCTTAACCACTTGAGCCACCGCAGCTCCAGCCTGTCCTTTTACTAGAGCGGGGGTCGGCAACCCGCGGCTCCGGAGCCGCATGCGGCTCTTTTGAACGTTTGCCGCGGCTCCGGGAGGTGACTGACAGGCCGGGGGGGCGGGCGCGCCTGGAGCGGCCTGGGGGGGGAAGGCGGTGCAACCAGCGGGGCTCTCCTGGCGGCAGTGCGCGTTCTGTGGAGCTCTGTCGAGCGCCACAGCCGGGAGGCCCCTTCTCCCAGCTCGGAGCCCCTCCCCACGTGCTCAGCCCCGGCAGTGGCATGTGCGCGTTGCCATGGTAGACCAGCCGCTGCCGCCTCCTCCTCTGCGGCGGCGAGCGGGCAGCAGGCACTGCAGGGGTGAGCATTCCGGATGGGCTGTCGGGTCGGGGCGAGGCTCCCTTTGTGCCCAACCCCAGCAGCTGGCGGCACTGGCCGAAGAAGGCTTGGGGTCCCTTCCCCACGTGGCAGGAGCCGGAGAGAGGGTGACTCGTGCTGGGGCACACACACGCCTCTTTGTCTCGCTCTCTCCCTCCTCCCCATGCCCACCAGCTTTGCCTGGGAGTGCCCCGGAGGGTGAAGGGACCCGCCTGCCTGAAGGATTGCCCGGCCGGTGACCTGAGCCGAGGGAAGTGAGGCCACATGGCAGCCAGGCGCCGCCGCCTCCGTCCGATCTGGGCGCACAGGCCGAGCGAGCTGGCAGGAAGCGAGCCCCCCCCCCCCCGGGTATCGGGTATAAATCCAATCTCCTCCTCCTCCTTCTAATATTGCTAGGTTCACAGACATGATCCTTCAGTTTTATTTTTAATTGTAAAGGTTTGTTGTATTGAAAACTGTTTCACAGACACCTCAAATGCCCCCCCCTACTTTGGAAGCCAGTTCGTGTTCCTGTTTGCCTGCCAAGCCAGAAGGGGGCCGTCATTGACTGATTTGACCCCCTGCCCCCTCCCCATGAGAAAGGGGTCCACACAAACAGGCACCCCCGGGCCGCTCTCGTCTGCTTTCTTTGAACGCTTTCAGTAAAAAGAAACAACTATCCTCCCAAAAGGGACTTGCTGTGGCTGCTTCTCCCCGGAGACTGAAGATGCTGCCCAAGGTTGAATTCTCATTGGTGTTCCTCCGTGCCTGACCGCCGCCCACTCCCCAGGACTTAAGAGGCAAAAGCTCTCCCGCCCCTCCCCTGCAGGGAACAGACAAAAGTTCGCACCCAACGCTGTCAGCGGAGTTTCCGTGGTGGGGGCAGCCATGTGGCCTGGCCTGAACCTGTTGGAGACGCTATTGGTGGTGCTGCTGCTGCTAGGGCCACCTCTGGTTACTGGGAGGAGTCTCCGCACCCCTCCCGGGAAGCAGCGGGAGCTCTTTTTTGGGGAGGGGGGAGGGATTTTTGGGGGGGGTGAGAGTCTGTTGGTTCTGATGGGGCCGTCCCTGGTCCATGGAATGAAAGGAAAGATGAAGTGGAGTGGGGAGGGGAGGGGATGGGAGAGATGGGCCCCACCCTCTTGCAATGGGAGGGAGGACCCTCTTTCTGACCTTGGGCAAGACCTGTTGCCCTGTCCGGTACTTGATATACTTCATTTATCCTTCCCCCGTTCCTCCCCAGAGGGGACCCCCAACTTGGCTTTGCATGCTCCTCCTCACAGTGGATCAGACCCTCAGTCCATCAGAGGTAGTTTTGTCTTCTCTTAGACTGGTGGGGGCTCTCCAGGGTCTTTCCCCTCCCCTCCTGCCTCCTTTTGAGCGGGAGATGCTGGGGATCGAACCTGGGACCTTCTGCATGCCGAGCAGATGATGAAGCAGACCAGTTTTTTATATCCTGTATATAGCATTAAGGTAAGAAACAATATATGCAGTGTTATATTTGTTTTAAATGTCGCAATGGTTTTGCGGCTCCCGGTTGTTGTTTTTTCCGTCGGAAACGGGTCCAAGTGGCTCTTTATGTCTTAAAGGTTGCAGACCCCTGTACTAGAGGGTTAATATGTGGAAATAGGCAGGTAAAAGTTTTTATGGTGGTGGTAGATATATCACCTGGTATTTGCTGCAGATCAAACTGACATTTATTTTTTATTTTTTTACAAAATTTAAAGCCTGCCTTTTTACTCTTTAAGGGCCATGAAGGCAGCTAACAAAATATACATAATTAAATCACATCTTAAAAACACTAAAACAAACAAAACCATATTATTGAATCAATTAAAATGAGAGCTAAAATGCATACAGAAACATAAAAACAACAATTAAAACAATTAAAATTAAGCCTCTGTAAGAGGCAGGACATTTTGGCAGCCTTAACTGCAAAAGTCTGCTCTGGCCAGTAGGATCTGAGCCAGCACTGACAGCAAGAAAATCTGCATGCCCTGTGACCTTCCCTCTCTGTTTGTTCACTCTGCCCCAGCAAAAGGCAGAGAGTGAGATGGTCCAGGTGCCTGGAGAAGAGTAAACTGGCAGTGGAGGAAAAAAAGAGCATCCCACACACACACTGTGGACTGCTTATTCTTGTCCCAGTGGGGGCTGCAATGACAGAGGTACAGTTTACTTTCATTTCTCTACAGCCAACCTGCTTACCTCTTGACAGCTACCTGGGTGCTTGGATTAAAGGGCAGAAATGTGGAGAAGGATGGGTGCTTTTATTCCACCCCAAGAGCAGACTGCACATTACTACCAGCAGAAAAAATCCTGGTGAGCCAGTGGCCTGAAAGGCCCCCTGTCTTAAGCCCACTGGCCAAGCCCAAGAGGCAATCAGGCCAGCACTACCACTGGGCTGGTTAGGAGCTAAACAGGCAGGTAAGACCACCACCACCAGACACAGGCAAGCAGCTTCCAGCCTTGCCTGTCCATTCCTGAGCCCACAATTATTGGTACAAAAGTGAGCAGACCCACCATGGCATAACAGCTGAGCAGGATATGAGCAGGCTACTGGCACAGTGCCCAGCCTCACCACCCGCTTCCTGGATCTGCCACCAAGAGGCTGGAGGCAAGCAGACTAGAAAAGATGCCACCACTGTGGAGGAGGTCAGCATATGAGCAAGGATGCAGCTACCAGGCAAAATCCAGTGGTGCAGAGCTCAATCTTGCCTCTCCCCCTGCCTAGGTCTGACACTGCCAGGTCAGGCAGGAGAGGAAACAGGCTGATGAGGCTGCCCCAGCTGGGTGGAAGTAAGTCAGTGAGCATGCTGCCACCAGGCAAAAGCCATCAGTTCAATGTCCAACTTGGGTCCTGGGTCTCACACTGCCAGCTCATCCTCGCCCAGTGGCCCCAAAGGCAATGGTCCCTGGCTGCATTGGCAGAGGACAATCACTAACAGGACTATTTTGGCAACAACAAGCCAAGAGAAGCAGGCAGCCACAACCTTGCACGAGTTGCTTTCCATCAGGAAAAGGGGCAAGGGCCATTTGACCATCCAGTCTGCCCCTGCCCGAGCAATAGTTTCACATTTTTACTCATCTTCTGTTATCCAGCAATGGCTTGTTCAGTGCAGAAACAACCTCTAAGACAAAAGCACCGCTGAGCAATGGCCTCACCTGCGTTGGCCCCACACAGGAGGAGCAAGAAAGTGGATTAATAGACACTCTGTTTGGAAAGGCTGCTCAGAAGAGTGAGCTACAAAGTGAGTATCACTGCCCTAACAGGAGCCCACAAGCCCACTGAGGCTATGCCTTCTTTCCACTGGGTGGAGCTATCTGTGGCAACAGCATATGCCTTTTCAGTTCCCTGCTTCGGTTTTCAGAATAGGCTGTCAGAGGACATGCAGAAGGTCCCTCAATGCTAACATTTTGCAAGACTTACAAAATTGTTCTGTTCCACAAGCATGTTTGTGTAACTCCTCCTAATTGCCAGTTTAATTGGGTACCTGGATTTTTATTGTGTTTTATGCTCTTATTTGTGATTGACTACAAGCAGCACTAAACTTTGGATAAAAGAAAGGTATACATTTTTAAATAAAAGGCATCACACTGAAGCACAGATGTAGCACCACCAGAACCTTTTCTGCATTAAATACCACATATGAATTTACTCACAAAATCAGCTTCAAGTTTTTCCATTTCTTGTTTGTAGCTCCTCATTCTGCTGCTATACATGCCTCGGCTCTGTGGAGGTATTTCTCGAACTTCAAGTTCCATTTGTTCCAGCTAGTGAATAAAATATATAAATGGGAAGAGAAGAAGGAATGAGAACAAAAATAAAACATATTGATTTGGCTTGCTAGAAATAATTCAGGAAGAAATTCAGGAAGGGAATGGATAATTCAACTAATCATACAAAATCATGTGGCTTTGTAAAAGTATTTACAATAGATCTATTATGGCATAAGCTTTCATGAGCTAGAACTCACCCTGTCACACACCTGAAGCTGTAATAATGACAGACACATATACACATATGCAAACACTGGGATCACAGGGCTATGTAATGCAGGGAACAGAAATGAGTTTATGACATTTCTTTGCATAATCCAAATATGTACATGACTAGAACACAGAAACTCATTTATTAAAGCAGTCAGTGTGAAATGCTATCTTTCAAATTGTGCTCTGCTAATTTAACACCTGTAGTGAGGATGAAACCCTGGGCTCCAATCAAATCTGAATCACTTAATCTCTGTCTCCCACACACAGCACACAAGGGTAGCCTTGGGTCAGTCACACACTCTCAGTTGAACCTACTTAACAGGATTCCTGCAAAGAGAAAATGAAGGTGGAGGGAATGATGTAAGCCACCTTGGGGTACAAATGAATTAAATAATAAATCAATAGGTGAGGTGCACTTTGAACCTGGAACTTTCTGACTCACAGATCATTCTCTAACCCTTATGCTGTACTAGCTTAACTAAACATAAATATAATTTTCCGTACACTTTTTCATACATGTAGATGTTGAGAAATATAAGAAAATGAAGTATAAATGTTTTACTTGTTTATGATAAGGATAACAAGTCTGTCAAAAGTATTTAATTTACTACTTTTGGTTTAATAATAATATAGTAGAAAAAAGGCAATGCATGGTTCTTCTTTATGCAGTGGGAAATTTGGGGAGGGGAGGATTGGTTATGAATGATGAAATAATAGCTTCTGAATAATAAATTTGACAGCTGGAAACAAAGCTGAGTGAAGACCAGGCCTCCGACTACAGTAAAAATCCAACTGGAACTACATTCTAAGTGAAATTTTGCACAAGGATTTGTGTGTGTCATGATCCCATGATCTCTATCCACAGCCTATGTAAGGTACAGCAGGTTATGCACAGTAGCACCATCCATCTCAAAGCAGTACCAAGTTTTCTCCTGGTACTAGCATGGTTCTCTCCTTCAGGTCATAAGCTATAACTAGAAAAATACCAGTTTGAGATGTTAGTCTCAAACACATAATCTTGCAAAGAGCTACTGCAAACTCTCTGTCCTTTTGCTCAGAAGCCTCAATCTCCATTCCTAGGGATCTTTTTCACTCTGCTTTCTCCAGATCACTTCTGCCTGCTACTGTTCTTACAGTTGTTTCAGCTGCCCAGCTGTACTGAAAAATGCTGCTTTCTAGTAGCTCTGTTACAATAAAATGCCTTTAAAGTATACTAAAAGGCCGAAGAATGAGCAACAAAACATTCACTTACTATATTCCCTTAGGATTTCTAGATTCACTTACTATATCCCCTTAGGATTTCTGGGGATGTGACTTGCAGTTATGAAAGAACTCAGTTATGAAAGATATCTGAAGAAGTGTGCATGCACATGAAAGCTTACACCTTGAATAAAACTTTGTTGGTCTTAAAGGTGCCACTGGACTTGAACTTTGTTCTGCTGCTTCAGACCAACACGGCTACCCCACCTGAATCTATCTTTGCAGTTATGAGTTTAATCATGTATAGAAAAAGCCTTTTCTAAAATCCTCCCTACTTGGGACAGATGGCCTTAGCGTGTCTCACATGGCTAACTGCTAGAAAGGGTTGCCAGCTGACAGAAGGGCGATCACCAGAGGTCATTTTTGGGGGGATCGCAGTTCCCCCGGGGGAGGTACGGGGGGCGGGGCACATGATGAAGCCCCGCCCCCTGCTTCCGGCCACCCCGCTTCTGGCCCTCATTCAGCCAGGAGGAGGCAGGAGAAGAGGGAGGGTAAGTTGCTTCCTCTCCGCCTCTCCCCACCCCTGCCTGCCTGGGGCCAGGGAGGGCCTTGGCGGGGCTTCCTCGCACTCCCGCTGGCCTTGCAGGTCCACCGCCGGGCCCCTGATGTCAGGGGGTGTGGCATATGCTAATGAGTTATGCTAATGAGTTCCCCTAGCTCTTTTTCTACGAAATGACCCCTGCCCAGTACATTAGCACATCAAAAGCATTCCCTGACATACCACATGGTCACTGGAAAAGGCTGGAGTGGGATGCCCAACTCCTAGCCAATCAAAACATACCTTGCCTGACAACGCATGGTAACCAGAGATTGGACACGCCTCCCCACTCTCTCACTATTGGGTAAATGGCCATACCTGGTGGTAACGGAGGGGGGTATAACAGCAATGATCCATATAGGAAAAGGGAGTTCCTCGCTGGAAACAAAGAGTTCTTTTGGACTGACTGTTTCCTGTTAACATGGAGTGAGACTATTAGGCAGCCAAGCTGGATTTGGCAGCCCACCCTACCATGGGGTTCCATTTCAAGATCCCCTGGTGAGACCTTGGACTATTTGCACACAAGTCTGGTAACTATGAAATACCTCTATTGTATAGTTATAGCTGAACAAACTATAGATATAATTTGTTTTCTTATCTTTTGCTAGTCTCATGTTATATGCATGCTTGTACACTGAATAAAGATAATATATAATCAATATTATCTGGACTTGTTTCCTCTGTTGCAACCTGATTTCTGAGACTGAATCTTGTGTCTAAGCCATTCACCTAAGGAGGCTACCATGGTGTTAATTAATTGTTTGCAGCCCTGGTACAGAGCTGGTAAAGTTGGTAAGTCCCATAAATCAATTAGGAGTTTGGGATCTCGGCTCCTAAGCTTTGGTGAGGACTTTTTAAAAGAGAGATCCTGGTGGCAGTAACTACTGGTAAAGCCTGGAGAGTGTACAAACATTCTCCTGGGGTTTGTTTAATTGTTGCTGAATGCTTGGTTTCTCTCCCATCCCTGGACTGGGGTGAGATAGAGAAACCTTGACAAATCATACAGCTGAATTGTGGCAGTGGAAGACATTTGTCAAAGGCCAAGGTCTCAGGTTCAGTCCGCAGCATTTTCAGTTTAACAGTGTCAGACAGCATGCCTCAGAAAGATCTGTATCTGAGCTCTTGGAGCTACTGCCAGCTAACCCTAGGTTAGACAGACCAATGATCTGACTTGGAATAAGGTAACCTTAGAATCAGGTTACTTCATATGAATGCATTTTATGCAACCATTTTTTCCAAGACAAAAAGCAGAGTTAAATTGCAAGTCAATAATCCTTGAAAAATTAAAGGGCTCAGAAATCATCTTTCTTCCTGTCAGGATAAGGACTCTCATAAATTGCAGGGTTGTTAGCTCTCAGGTGAGCAAAGTCCATAGTGTCACACTGAAACACAGTGGCTCACGAAATGACTAAAGACAGAAGGGTTGGAACACCTTACATTCCTTCTTCATGCAGACAGTGAGTGCATAAATCTTCACGCCACGTGTTGGTTGCAAGACTGCTGTATGTAATTGCAACTTTCCTAATTCAGCCTCTTCAAATCACACGAACATAAGAAGAGCCCTGCAGACCAGTGGCCCATCTCATCCAGCATCCTGTTTCATGCAATGGCCAGCTGGTTGTCATGGAGGGTAGACAAAAGGGAATAGAGGCCAAAGCCTTCCCCCAGTTTCATAGGAAAGGTGATCCGATCTCTTAATCATTTTATTTATCTTTTCGCTTTAGTGTATTCTGGCCCAAGAAACCTAAAACTTCAGCACTAAATGGTATATTAGGATTTAATGGCTTTGTCCAAGTTGCTTTTAGTCAAGAACAATCCTAGGAAGTTCCTGATTTCATTGTTAGACTACACTGTGGCTAAATTTATAGGTGCATAATAAAAAAATGAAATTAGCTGTGTGTTTTTCTCCTGTACACCTACTGTAAGGCATTTGGCCATCTAGGAGAACACAGCAAATGTAATGTCATAAATGATTAACACTGATGATTTTCCAAATACCTTCCAGTGCTGCAATATGACTTATACCAGAAAGCCCCCAAGACCACAGGGTTTCATCCTAGGGTATCTATTGAAAATGTCCATTTCAAGTGATAATAAAAAGCACAGACTAGTGACTAGCAATTCAATATGTTATTTAAGATTGCCCTTGTATTTCCAGTGCAACAGCATACATGGTACACATTCCAATTTTAGTATATGTGCTGCCATAGTACGTATAGTAATCCTGTGGCCTTTGAACAGCAGCAAAATAAATTTACCAACAAATAGCAAGAGACCATACATGCCATCTTATATATAGTTTGACAAAAGCATGTCAGGAAATTACAAATGTGGCATGTTTCTTTAACTGTTTCAAGTTTGTGGTGCACTTGGAGCTGGTTTCATTTTCTAAGTTAATAATAAAGTGCTTTGTTTGTATCCTAGTAACTGGAGAGAATAGGCATATATAAGGTGGGTGCAGAATTAAGCTCTGGTTAACAAAGCTGTTACTCCATCTGAACAAAATTTATTCTTAGTGTGTACACACACGATTTTATCCCACATCCAATTATTTGCATTTGTTCAAAGAACAGAAGTGTGAATTAACAATACCCCTTTCAGTTCAGTATAAAAATCTAGCAGGTTCTTACACATACACACAGTTCTGGATGGAGGGGGGACTTAGCTGTGCAATAACTAAGTGCTTAACAGCCTGGATCCAATGAAGAATTAGACATGCCTCAGTTTATTGATTTCAGTGAATTCAGGTGTGCCTAACTCTTCATAGAATTAAGAATGTAAGAATCACAGGACTTGGGTGGCAAAGTTTCAAGTTTGATTTCTACATCCTCCTTTCACAAGAACCTTTCAATGGGTTATGTTACTTAGCCAGTTTTGTTCAAATTGATTTTTATATGCAAGCCTTGACATTAATCACAACATGTCAGATAATTGCTTAAAGCCAATAATTGCATTAAGCACCTGTCTAGAAACGTTAGCGACA